TGTAAATTATTATCAGGGAGATCTTCCTATGTTCGTTAGAAGCATGATTTTAATAGATATAAATAAGGAATTAAGACCGATTATTAACCATGTTGCTATTGAGTTCCTCAGGCACCTTCAAGTGGGGCAGGTGAGAATGGCATGTGGAACAGCAAGCTCTGAGGGGAGAGAGGAGAACTGCAGAGCTCAGGACAGCCTGTGGAAGGCTGGCCCCCATGGGGTGGGCTTGGTGGTCACGGGAAAGCATGACCACAGGGATACCTGAGTGTGTGTCTGTGGGGCAGGAGGCCGGTAATGATTCAAGGTGGAAAGACACTGAAGACAAATTTAGTTACGTCACATTCTTGACTTCAATGTATTTATATTGAATATATTTAGAGTTTAAAGCTAATTAAATCGATTCATCATCTTTTTTTCAAATACAAAAATGGTTTTGTAAATGCTAATTAGGCTAGAGGACATTTGCATCATTTAAAACTAGGCAATTGGCCACCTACAACATATAGGTGATTCATTAATTTCAAGTAAATGTAATGCATATAAGTAAATGGCAAGACTCTGAGGATTTCTGTGGTTGGCTCTGCCTTCTGTCGGGTTATAATGCACTTCTGTACACTGTACTTATATTAAGGGTCTCCACCAGGATGTTCTCCAATACTCTATTCTTTCAAGAGAATGCCATAGGAGTACCAGTTGGTTATTATACTGGATGAAGCCAGTCTTGTGAATGCCTGCTCTGCCCATTGTGCCTTGCTAGGCATGGGGCCTAGGTGGTTCCTTCCTCCTAAGTAGCTATGTTCTTACCTCTTGATCCAACCTCGCAGGCCACAGCTGATTGGACTACAATGAGCCGTGGGCATTTAATCTGTGGCTGGCCTAAGAGGTGGCCTGGCATGGAAAGGCTGTTTTTCAGGGATAACGGTGGTATGCTGAGTCTTTCAGGTTCTCTCTCAGGAATTTTAACTGAAGATGTGGCAAGAGTCAGTCAGTTGCAAGCAAAACCTTAGTGGAAATACCCTCAGAGAGAAGGCAATATGTAAAAGCGTCAAGAACTGCAAGTCATGAATAAGCAGAAACAAGAGTAAGTAAATGCCATGAAGTTGCGGAGACTCCAGAAGAAAGGGAGAGTTGTTAGTTGGTAGCAGCAGATGGAGAATTGAGACTTTAATGGCTGAGGATAGTCTAGATAATCCAGTTACTTGAGCTATATTGGATTCTTCCAATTTCTGAATTGCAGTGTGAGGCTCAGCTAAATATTTCCATGATGCCTGGCTATGACACAAGTATCCCCATAGTAACTGCTGTCCCTACTCCCCCCGTAACTTAAGGTACCAGAAGAGTATCTTTCCCTGCACACCAAAGAGCCTAACACACAAGTATGTATAGTCATGTGTCACTTAATGACAGGGATACGTTCTGAGAAATGCATCGTTAGGCAATTTCATTGTTGTGTGAACATCGTAGAGTGTACTTACACAAACCTAGATGGTATAGCCTATTACACACCTAGGCTATATGGTACTAATCTTATGGGACCGCTGTTGTATATGTGGTCCATCATTGACCGAAACATTGTTTTGCAGAGCATGACTGTATGTGGTTTGCATAACTTTGTTTTGCTTTTATTGCCTTTCAAGCGCTCTGGGTGGCTTTCTCCCTCATCTTCATTCCTTACTTTCTCTTTTCCAGCCAGCTGCCACTTCCTATGTCCCACATCCTCCACTGCAGATAGATATTCATGATCCAGAACAGAGTGGTAACGAGGGCAGTGAGGGTTAAACCAACCTTGCCAGTCCAAAGGGTCCTCCAGACATGGCTTTGCACAGACTGCCTTTGACTTTTTAATCAATTTATGTTCATACTGGATGGATGAAGACATGGCAATTTAGCTGAGATATTAGGTTGCAGCTAAATTTAGAGTAGATTTTCTTTTCTCTCTCTGCCTATTATTAAGGAATCAGCTTATCTTATCCCTAGATTCTTCCTTCCTCCATCCAAAGACAGAAAAATAGACGCACAGCAGGGACGTTTTAGAGTTAACACACATCTAGTTTGGCTAAGATACTCTTTCCAGGAGCAAGCATGAACCTTTTGAATGTCTTTTTGTTTGTCCACACATGTATGCTGTACAGTGGTAGTCGACAGAGCTCCCTGAGTATCAGGTTTAACCTCTTGCAAGTATACGCTCTCCCTTTTCAATTGAGCCTTGGCCCTTGCATGGAAGTAATTTTAAAAAAATCCTGAATTGCTTCTCTGTTTTAGCATTAGAACTTCCCAGAGTTTTAGTAGGGCATATGGCTGCCCAGTTTGCAACTATGTGTCCTAGCCTCCTTTGTGACTAGGTGTGGCCATGTCACTCAGTTTCCCCCAACAGAATATGAGCAAAGTGATGTTTGCAACTTCTATGACAATTCTTTAAAAGGAAACTGCTTGCCCTCTGTTTTCTCTTTTGCTACTTTCCAGCCCCAGATGGGATATTGGTTAATCAGCTTCACTCATACAGTTTAGGTCAATATAGTAGGAAATGGTGGAGCTATAAGATGGAAGGAAGTAGAGTCGCCAGATAACCTGGTGGAGCACAGCCACCTACGCACTGGGTACCTCTAGGCTGTTACATGAGAAAGCAACAAATATCTCTTCCTTGTGTGAGCTGTTCAATTTTTGAGTTTCTCTATCACAACAGTTTAATCTATACTGTAACCAATACACAGTGGTGGGCGTTTACTATGGCTTACTGTGCGTCAGGAACCACATTAAGTACTGAATAGGTGTTAGGTCACTTAATTCTCTAGGAATCATCCTAAAATAGATACTACTTACCCGTTTTACAGATGTGCAAACAGGCTTAGAGAGGCGAGGTGACTTGCCCAATATTGCATGGCTGTTAAGTGGCAGAGAAGACTTGAACTCAGCTCTGAAGTACTTCAAAACACATATTCTTAATTGCTGTGCCCTCATGTCTCTTAACATTACTGTTTACTCTTTTTCTACAGAGAGTATGCAAAGTATTCTTCTCTGCCAATTTAAAGTTTCAGTCTGTTACACATTGTAGCTCTGGACTCCTTCTCTGCTCAGTTTGGTATAGATTGCTCATTTTAGCTTACTTTTTGGGGGAGGGGGACAAATATTGTTCTTTAGTTTTGAATAGAATTATCTTGCCTCGTTTGTTAGATTGTAAATCCCTCAGGAGATGGTGCTGGTGACACAAATGCTGAATAAATGACAATTATATGTCTAAAGGGATAAGGGCTTTCTGGTCTTCAGAATGACTCGATATTCTCTTCTGTGATGTCGTTCTCATGGGTGTATAAATTCTGTTGTTAATGAATCAATCCTGGTGAACCCCCTCCCCTCCTCCCTTTAAAATACATTTTCATGGTAGCAGCAACTTTGAATAGAGGAAACATCTGAGAAGATGATTTTTAATAAGGAATGATGTCCATTCTATTTATCACTGTAAATATAAGCTGGAGGAATTTAAAATTTTCGTGATTGCACTTTAGTCAAATGTTAGATTCATGATTATTCTGCCATATCTGAGTTAGTAATAAGTTTTCTGCATAATAAAGGAAAATCCAAAGTAACACTGCCTTAAATAAGATATTATTTTTTTCTAACATGAAAGAGGCGTCAGGGTGGGCAGATGAGGACTGATATGGTGGCTTCTTGGCCACTGGGATCCCAAGCTCCTTCTAACTTTTTCCTCCCAAATCCCGGAAAATGGTTTCCACTCTAAAGGTTCCCTCATGGTTAGCAAGAGCCCCTGTAATGACAACCATTGTGTCAGAGCAGCAGGCAGTAGGATGTGGAGAGGGAAAAGGGACTTTATCTACCCATTCCCTTTTAAAGACCTTTTCCAGAATTTTTACTAAGTGAATTTCTACCTCACTGGTCAGAACTTAACTATACCTAGCTACTTAGCTGTCCAAATAAAATCAAGGCTTTGTCTTGTTTTTAACTAAGGAAGAAAGGGAAGAATCAATGTTGGGTAGACTGTCTTGCCTTCCAGTTAGAAAATTCCCACCATTCGAGATCAGGGATTGGTAAACTATGGCCCATGGGCCAAATCTGGCCTGCAGCCTTTTTTTTGTAAATAAAAAGTTGTTGGAACAAAGCCATATGCATTCATTTATGTGTTGTCTATAGCTGATTTCATGTGACAACAGCAGAGTTGAGTAGTTGTTACAGAGATTGTATGGCCCACAAGCCTAAAATATTTCCTGTCTGGTCCTCTATAGAAAAAGTTCGCCAACCCCTGTTCTAGATCAAGGAGGACTGATTCTGATGAATGAATGGCTTTATTCCTTGAGATGCTATTATAGGAGCAGAGTTGAGCTTAATATGGATTCAGTAATAATCTATTCTTCTCTAACCCCAGTGAGGGTAAATCTATTAGGCATATGTTTGGTTGCAAGTAACATAAAACCTGACTAATAGTGGATTAAACAAAAAGGAGTTTGTTAATCTCACATACAAGTCCAGAAATACCTGGTCCGGGGCTGATGCAGATGCTCAATGATGCCTTCAAAACTGGACTATTTTTTTCCTCCCCAGTCATGCAGAGAATGTTGGCTTTCATCTCCATGCTTATTGTGAGATGGCCGCAGCGCCTAAAGGCATTATGTCTGCATCCCGTGTAGGAGGAAGGGGAAGGTGCCAAAGGCCAAAGGGGGCATGTGTCGTCCCTTTCCAAAAACTTTCCCACAGATTCTCATTGGCCAAGGCTATGTCTCATGACCACCACTAGCAGCAGAGGATTCTGGGGTGGTGAGAACATAAGTTGGGCCCATTACTGGGGCAAAAAAATGGAGATTCTACTGGAGAGGGAGAAGGGGAGACAATAGCAGTACGTGCTACAGAGGGCTGCTCACAATTAACTGGGCCACTCTAGCATGTTCTCATAGCCTCACTTTCCCTACTGCCTTTCCTACCTGCACTTCCCGTCACAGTTCCCAAAATTCATTTTGTTCTTTTCACCTCCCTCTCATATTTTTGTCTAGGTGAGAAACCTGGAAATGAGCCTGAGGAGGTGAGGCTGCAGAATGCCAGCAAACAGATTGTGCAGAACGCCATCCTGCAAGCTGTGCAGCAAGTCTCCCGGGAGAGTCGGCGGAGGGAAGAGAGAGGCAGCGGCAACCAGGGCACTTTCCAGCTGCGTGTAGGGGAATTAACCAAGAAGCATGAAAAGAAGTAACACAGTGGATTGGGCTCTTGTCATATGCTTGGTTTCCAGCCTTCCTCTTAGTATAGGATGCGTCGCCAAAATGTTGCCAGTAAAGCAAACCAAAGTGTCATTGGCACCTAGCAGTAGAATGAATTCACACTAGCCCTTGGCTGAGAAGCACTGTTGTGCAAAAGTGCATTCGACGATTCTGTTTATATTCATGCAGTGCCTCTGAAACACAGTGGGGCCAAACACGACACTGTAATTGCAAAAGTAGTTTTGTGGAACAATTTACTTTTAAAGTTCTTTTTTAAAAAAATGATTCAGCCTTGTTTATTTACTTCTGTCTTTTATGCATTCTTTCTGTGAATTTAACCAGCAGTCCTTTTTGCTGAAATACTGAATGCAGTACTGTGCTGTTTATAATATTTAAAAAAGACATGCTGGAAAGGTGAAGGAATGGAGTTTCAGTCACCTTCACACATAGAATTGGGGGCTTTTATAAAGTGGGTTCAGGTCCAAGATCAAATTAAGCAAAGGCAACTTCTAAGACCCAGCCCCTCAGGATCTTACCGAGGCATGTATTTATATTACTTTTACGAGAGGAAGAGTTTAGCTTTTCAAGAACTCAGTCTTTTAGTCTCAGTTCTCTCAATTGTTTGATAGTTGGTGTTTACTCTCTGTGTGGAAATCCTTTGGAAATATCGTGGATTTCTTTTTCCATCTCAAGATTAAAATAAGACAAGTGAATCTATATGCACAGGTTGCCGATGACTCAGTTCTTTAGCAGCTCCATGGAGAACAACTAGAAGATTCCATCCTGGAGATTCACTAGGGTCTGGTTATGGGATTTAGGGTCCTTGGAAGGAGCTCTGGGGCCTTATAAATGCTATGTTGCCATCAGGCCATGCATTTGCACTAATACTACCCTAATAGGAACTTTTATTTTCCCACATACAAATTAGAATTATTTTTTTGAGATTTTGAAAATCATACATATCAGGAAGGAATAACACTTAAAATGGAAAAATCATTTTCTCAACTCTTTGAAACATGAAAATATAGTGGGCACAATAAAGTGATGGTGTTGTGAATGTGGTTATGGAGATGTATGTGTGTGTATGAATAAAGCCATATCTGTTGCAACAGTATGACTTCTCCACTCCCATGTGGATAATGCACATCTTTCTGGACTCTTTAAAGTCCTATTTCCTGGCCTCACAACAGTTATTGAGTTGGTGCTACTGGGGACAGAGAAGGAATTTAACCTTTTTTTGTTAAAAAGCTTTTGGCTTCAGAGTACCTATGTCTACATTTAATAGTTTTTTAAAAAGCAAAGTATTAGCATATAAAATGTGACTGATATTAAGATATACTTCTAAAATTCCAATATGTTACACTTTCCAGAATAGATACTAGTGATAAATGAATGAAAACAATCTCTTATCAGCTCTGTTAGACTATCTCACATGATACACAGATGGAATAAATTCATAGGGAAAATGGCAGCAGGAGGGAGCAGAGGGGTTAAAATTTAAATATGGTTAATTCATAAATTTTTTTTAGCAGAACTCATGACAATTGAAGAATGAGTTTAAGTTGACCTGAAGTCATATAATTGATGTGATATAATTGCACAAAGTAGACAGTGGGAATGAAGGTATTAAGGGAAGTTATTCAGGAGTATCCACAAATAAAAAAATAAACCCAAAGCTTTGTAGTTCGCAAGTGACCTGGCACTATGTCTACTAAGATGTCTGGATATAATCAGCCTTCCATCTTGCTGTCATATGGCAGAAACACACAAATGTGCTATCTTTCCTCTCTGGCGTGTCTGTGCTAATACATTGGGGATCTTTGAGAACATCTGCTTAACCTCTGTATTTAAATGATATTTATAAAAATAAAAAATATCCAGCTTTGAAATATGTTGTCATTTTAAGCAAAGTTTCCTATGCCCTACCATTTGGCACACTTTATATGTGGACCTTACATTCATGCGGCACCACGAGGTTTCCCAGGTCTGTTTTCCAAACCCCTAGAAATCAAGACCCTGAAAGAGCTTCTTTAGTGGGCTTCACTGTAACTGTCTGAGGAAAGCTGTGGGATGGTGGTTCCTGAGGCTTGAACTGAAAAAGGCGTGTGCTAACAAGTGGCCTTTTGTTCTCAGGAGATAATGGTAATTGGATCAGGAAAGTTGAGTGTCTTTCATGATCTTTCTTAGTCGGAAAGTCTATAGCAAGGAACAGAGATGTTGATAAGTTCTTGGAAGAAGAAAAGAGTTAATCAACACTTGCACTCTACAGATAGGGGCCATATTGGCAGAATCCTAAGAAAGCTTTGCCATAAAAATAAAGGCATCTATTAGACTCTTACTTGTATCTCTCCCAGTGTAAAGTTATTGGCTTTTACCAGACAGAGAAAGACAAACATGGTATGATTTCACTCATATGTGGAAGATAAACTAACACACGGACAAAGAGAACAGATTCTGGTTACCAGAGGGGAAGGGGGTTGGGGATTGGGCATAAGGGGTAAAGGGGCACATTTATAAGGTGACTGAAAATAACAATGTACAACTGAAATTTCACAATGTTATAAACTACTATGACCTCAATAAAAAAATAGTTATTGGCTTTTAAAGGGGCTTACAGAACTTCATTTAGCATAGGATTAAGTTGCGCCTCCACTTGGTAATTATCACAAAATAGCACACAGCTTTTAGTTTTAGGAATTAGTGGGAACGCTTATTTAATGTCCTTCATCTTCTTGACTAACTACATGGTAAGCTGTGCGTGGGTCTCCCAGCTCTGTGTTCAGCTGTTCGTCTTTTGCGTTGCCTATCTCTGGGGTAGAACTAGAGAAAGAGATCCTTTTATGCTACTTTGCTTTTCTGTAATCATCTATCCAGTGTGAACAGTATTATAAATAGATACAAAAAAACTTACCGCTTCCTCCGTTTTTGTCTTTTAGCTGCTAGTCTTCCCTTATGGTGTGGTTTCAGGTTACAAATAAATGAATCAACCATTTAAAAATAATCATTAAATTTATGCTATTCAGGCTATTTTCAAGGTTTTAAGGTCTCTTTAAAAAACACAAAAAAGAGGGAATTTTAAATGCATCTACTGTAACAGCTATTTGAATAAAATACAGTACAGAATGAAATCTCTGAAAAATCTGGTAACTAGGCTAGCAATGATAGTACTCAAACAGATGTAAAAACTAAATACTCCAGTTTATGTAATTCCTCAGTTTATGTAAGGAGAAAGTGGAAACTACAACAATACTATCATCTCTAGAGTGCATGAAAGTTTTCTGAAATATATTACTACCCCTTAGCCATTTATCTCATTGTCACAACCTCACAATAAGGTGTAGCTGGGAAAATCTTACTCTCCTTTTGCAGATAAAGTCACACTGAGTCTCAGAGAGGATAAGCATATCACAGGTGGTGAAAAGTGGGTACTATGGGGCATAAGAATACACAAATCACTGATCTTGATTTGTGAGCATTTGAATCAGCTAAGGACTTTATGAATATCAATTCTAGGGATATCTATGTTAAGAAGGAAAAATAAAATTGCCTCAGAGAAAACCTTTCTGAATAAGAAATGTAACAAAAATAACAATGGGCCAGCAAAAATCATCATCCATAGAAAAGACTCAATGCCATTACCCTCCAAGAGTGATAGCTAAGCAAAGAAACGGGAAACTCCAGAGGGAACAAAATAGAAAATCACAAGAGAGTATGGCACGTCCACTTCTTTTTCTTCTGCTCCTCAGAAGCCACAGTGGTAAGTCCACAGAATCTTGACCAGGTGTGGGAAAGATGAATGAAATGGGTGACTTTATTGTTTGTCTTCTGGCTTCAGTGTGGTAGAAATGACTGCTGGGAAGAGATAGGTGACATAGGAGAAGGGACTTCTCTCGGACAGAAGTGATGACCTTGTCTTACAGAAATGAAAAAAGAAAGAAAGAAAAGAGAGAAAATGCATATTAAAAGCCCTCATCATGGGGCCGGCCTGTTGGCGCAAGCGGTTAAGTGTGCACGCTGTGCTGCAGCGGCCCGGGGTTCGCTGGTTCGGATCCCGGCACACACCGATGCACAGCTTGGCAAGCCATGCTGTGGCGGTGTCCCGTATAAAGTGGAGGAAAATGGGCATGGATGTTAGCCCAGGGCCAGTCTTCCTCAGCAAAAAAAAGAGGAGGATTGGCAGGTGTTAGCTCAGGGCCGATCTTCCTCACACACACACAAAAAAACCCTCATCATATTCTAGGAATATGGATACAAATGCTCAACAGCCATATTTCCAGAATAAAAGACAAATTCTTGAAACTTCTAGGCTGAGAGAAAGTCATTGACAAAGGTAATATTTCAGGCTGGCATCAGAAGATGTCATAGCAACATTCAATACCCTGACGTTGGGGGGAAAGGCAACAGAATAGCTCTGAAGGGAGGAAAATGTGAGGTAAGGATATTATTCTCAGCTAAGACGTCACCCGAGACTAACGGCAAACATAATAAAACAAAAAAATCTTACAGGTTACCAGTCCTCAAGGGCCCTTCTTAAAAACACTGCTTGACTGTGAACTTCAGCAACTAAAAGATAAATCAAAATGAAGAATCTAGAGGTAGGGAAGCTGCAGTAAAAGGACCGGTAAGGAGCAGGGCCTTCACTTAACTATCAAGTGAATATGACATAATTGTGAAAATTAGGCTAAAGTAAAGAAGGTAAATTGTTATATCTTGACAGTATAAAAATATAACTAACAAAAATCAGGAGATGGGGCAAGGGAAACGACATCATGCTAATGACTTCATCTGTTAGAGAAAGAAAGAATTTATATGATCTTATGTTGAATGATCTAGTTAAAACACCCCAAGGACACCAAACTCTTAATAGATTTCATAATTCCTTTCCTTAGCCTTAGAGGAAGGTATTAGAAAATAATATCTTGTGATAAAGATTAGTTTAAAATTTAGCAATTCCTTTAGTTTCCATTTAGTTTCTTTTTCTTTCATTAAATTAAAAATATATTAAGTGATATACATATAAAATCCCTTGATACCATACATGACCACTATTCACTCTTCTACTGAAGCTGACCACAAAGACTTGCAGCACGTGAAGACCCAGGGTGATCTTCACACTGAGAAAAGTAATTCCTTTGATTATTAGACTTCGGCTACAGATGGTCTGTAGGCTAAGTAATAGCAGAAGAAAAGAATGGCTTTATTTGCATCGTGCTTTTCAATTTTAAGGCAAGTCACTATTGTGTAGTAGATCCTCTCTTAGCTGATTTCTAATTAACCAGTGCTTGCTCCACATGCCTGATACTTGTGTCTAAGAATTGACTCTCTTGCACACCCTTGCACTAATGCTCCACTAACTGAGTTGTATGTGTAGCTGACACTGTTGGTGGCCATTCATATTCCCTCTGCATTTGCCATTTTCCTGTGCACAGATGGCTTCTTACTGCAAAGAGCTATCACTTTTTGCCTGTGGGCTTTTTCTAGCTAGACCACAC